ATTCCTGAGCTGTAAACCTTTATGAGAGCAGACATCCTCCTCTTTCTCTCTTGGAGCTAGCAGCCAATATCAAATCACATAAAGAAAAACAAGGTAGCCCAACAACTGACCAAAGTAAAGAACCAGGAAACCTTTCAGAAAAGGACGTGGCAATTGAGCCACCAGACAAGGAACTCTAAAGACTAATTATAGGGTTCTCAAGGAGATCAAGAGAGACGGCACAAAAATTAGACAACACAAAGGAAGACTGAAATAAAATCAAAGAAAACACAAATTCCAGAAATACCCACAGAGAATTGTCAAAGATTTGATGGTAATGAATTCTGTGAAGGATAGACCCTCCCCCAGAAAAACTCACCAAGACCTATCATATCAGGCTTGCCAATGACAATAAAAGAATCTGCGAGCAACTAAGGAAAAAGAAGAAAGTCACCTTCGAAGGAGATCCAGTAAGATGAAGCTCTGCTGGTTTCTCAGCAGAAGTCATATAGGCAAGAAGGCAATGGGATATCTATATCTCTATATCTCTATTTATATCTATATCTATCTATCTCTATATTTAAAAGATAAACAATATCAAGCAATAATTCTGCATCCAGCAAAGCTCTCAATTCGTGTTGGTAGGGACCATCAATCTGGCTGCGACTCATGGAAACCCCGTGAACCACAGAGGAAAACACGCCCTGTCCTGGGCCTTCCTCACCACTGCTCCTATGCCTGAGTTCAATGATGCAGCCACTAGGAACCCACTGCGCCAGGGACCTTCTTCCCTTCCACCTACGGTTCTCCAGGGCCTGGTCCCTCCTGGACAGCTGCACGAAGTGCGTAGATGAAGTCTCGCCTTCCTTGCCTGTAAGGAGCACTCCGGCCTTACTGCTTCTAGCACAGACTGGTTTCCTTTTAGCCATCCATGGTATGTTCAATACGCTGCTCCAGCACCAAACTCTCAATGATGATCATGAAATGAGGAGTTTTCAGGTTAAAAAGGGAGGGGGCAGAATTTGTTAAAACCAAACCAAATTTATATTTAAAAGAGCCTTAAAAAAACCAACAACAACAGCAGACAACAGCCGAGACCAGGACAAAGGACAACATCAACTAGCTACCAACTCAGATAGAGAGTCAAAACAAAACTAAACGACTGAAAACAAGGGAACCAGAGATGCCAATCAGTAAACGAAGATGGAAGTCAACCTTTGTCAGCATTCTTACTCCACACTTGACTGGGAGTCCTAGCTAGAACAATAAAGCAAGAAAAATAAATAAAGGGCATTTGAATTAGTAAGGAGAAAGCAAACCTCTCTATTTGCACATTCCATAATCCCATACATAGAAAATCCCAAGGAAATCCCCCCAGAAAGGTTCTAGGACTAATAGGTGGATTCAGAAGTGTAGCAGGATACAATGGTGACATATAGAAATCACTTGGATTCCTCTACAGTAATGAAGAGCGCTGTGGACAGAAAATCAGAGAAATAAGACCATTGGGTTTCTGAGAACGCAGGAGGGGGTGAAAGGAGATGAGGGGCCCAGAGCAGAAACAGGGAGAGCACTGAGACGCTGCCCGGAACACAGCCGATGCTACAGAGCACTCAACACACAAACAACCTCTCAAATGATAACGAATGCGCTCTGTAAACTTTCATCTGAGGCACAATGAAACTTTGAAAACAGCAACCAAGACAAATAGGAAAGCTCCCAGGGTCTTATAATTTAAATCTTCAAAGATAAGATTTTAAAAGCCTGTGGATATTTGCACAAACTCGTCTGAAGGTATCATACTGCTAGACCAGTAATTTTCCTCAGAGGTTCACAGAGTTTATCACAACATATCAAAATGCTTGATTACAGACTGACTTGTGTTCCACCTGTACATAGACCACGAGGCAGTCGTTTGGCTGGAACAAGGGGATTCTGACGGCTTAAAACCAAGAAAAGTGTATGTCCGTGCTGTGTCCTTTAACATACACATCCAATCTGTACACTGAGCAAACAACGCAGGAGGGTGGACAATCTGAACAGGAGCCATGCAGCAGGTTTGGAGGGACACTCGTTAACAACCAGAGGTCTGCAGAAGACACAACCCTGCTCGCCGAGAGCGAGGAAGACTTGCAGCGCTTACTGAGGAAGATCAAAGGCGGCCGGCTTCAGGACAGGTTATGACCCAACCAACGGCAAACAAAACTCCTCACAACTAGACCAATAAACAGCAACACGATCAACAGACACAAGAGGAAAACTGCGAGGATTCTGTTTCTTTTGGCTCCACAGGAGTGAAACAAGCAAGCGATGCGTTGCTCTGGGAAAATCTACAGCAAGAGGCGTCTCTAAAGGGTTCAAGCAAGGCTGCCACTTTGAGGACCAAGGCATGCCTGGAAAAGCCATGCTGCTGTCAATGAAGTCGTACGCATGGGAACATTGAACAAAAAACCCCAAAGGCTGAAAAGATGGCTGGATGCTTTTGCATGATGGTGTTGGCCAAGAAATGGAGCATTATCCTGGAATGCCACACCAAACAAGGCTGAGTGGGAAGCCGTAAAGTCAGGAAGCTCCTTAGAAGCAAGAACGGTGAAATGTCCATTGCCTGCACTCTGGACTGACCCAGTGGCTACCTTGGTGGATGGAAGCAGAGCACGGCTGTGGGGATGCTGCGGAGCGTCATTCTGTGGCACACACGGTTGCTACGGTTTGGAACCAGGATGGCAGGACCTAAGAAAGACACTGCTCAGAACACGGTCGATTTCGGGGTCTCACAGCATTTGGGGAGTTCATGAAGGGCAAGGGGGACAGGGTCCAAGAGAAAGGCTTCCATGTGGCTTGAGTCTAGCAGGGCATCCCACGGCCTCTGGGCCCACGTTTCATCCTTGCAATGACGGCAAGGCTCCGAGCTCAGGGGCGGGCACAGTAGACATCATCAACCTCGTGACCGAGCAGTCACTCTCTGTTATTGGGGAGGAACACAGCACATCACTGCACCATGACACTGCCGGGGGCAGAACAAGGGACAGCAGTGCCCCTCGTGACACACGATACCGTCTGCAGCACCACGACCAAGCTCTGAGAAGCCTCCTGGCCTGAGGGAGACCCTGTGAGGGACGCAAGAGCTAAGACAGCAGAGGTCACTACGGCCACACGCACAGCCCTGTAGCAGTTACGGATGCGGAGCTCAACCTATGCAGGTGCTTGTTCTCTGGGCGAGTATATGCCACGCTTCTCTAAAAGTTATCCGCAGAGAGGGCGGGCGTCTCTCCAAGGTACCCTAAGGGCCCTCGCCGGCTTCACACTGAGGACAGGAGGCACACATGGCTCCTACTTGACTACTAAGCTAAAGGCTGGCAGCGGCACCACGGAGGAACAGCCTGGAGGCCTGCTCCTGTGAGGAAACACACACAATCCAGAAAGCCCGGACACACCGGGGTTGCCGTGAACTGGACACATGGTGACAGCATGGCTTCTTGCTTGTTTGTTGGGGACTTCCCGCTGGCTGCCATCCTGCCTCACCTATCGACAGGCGTGCCTTTGGAACTACTTTGCACTAACAGCGCTCATTCCAGAGTGGCTCCCCGTCTGAACCAGGAAGGGAGAGCAGATTGGACACCCCACTGTAAGCGTGAGGCACGTCCTACCAGTAGCAAATAGATGCAGGAAGCATTCCATTCTGACCAGGAAAGACGGAGCAGTTGAACAGGGACTCCCTGTGCATTCCCCACAGGACCAAAGAAAGTACCCCAGCCCATCCCACCAGGGGCCCCCCCCGCCACCGGTACAGTCCAACAGTGAAACACAACAGGGGGACTGCCGCCCACGGGGGACCTGTTTAACGTTCACCCAAGCAATGCCGCCATGGTCATGGCAGGCAGGACCAGGCACAGGCACACAGGCTACCTGATCCCAAGAACTGCCTCGCCAATCCCAGGCATGGGATTTTGCAGCCCGGTGACATGCCATGACCCTCCTGCAAAAGTTCGCTGCTTGGCGAGTCCTTCCTAGCTGCCGCAAACCTCCGTGGCACATAGCCACCACCCCACTGTGCTGAACAAAACGGGGTGGGTGAAGTCAACAGCAGAGCCCACAGAGCCACGCGCACAGCGGCCTTGGCGAATGTGGGATTTGGATTTAAAGGCAAAGAACCACCTTCAGTGTCCTGGAGAGGTGAAGTTGCCAGCAGCCAGAGTCAGTGGAGGGCGGTCTTCCATGTGTGAGCAGTTTGGAAACAACCTATTTCACGATTCAATTGTGAGGCAGATAAGACAGAAAAGAGGGGTGTGGTCATAACAGTTAAAGTGATTAGACTTTAAAAATTCTTAAAGGAAAAAAAGCCCAAATCTCATAAAAATGCAACATGTGTACCTTATCATGCAAACCTCTGTAGAAGGACAATTAGTGAAAATAAAAATAGCAGAGGTGTCCCTCGTGAGACCGGAGACTATTAGTATTTCTACCCATTGTGCAGGCATCTCCGCGGCCCTTCATCGTTACGCCGCCACCCTGGTGTTTGATCCAAAGCTACCCGAGGGAGCCCGCGGCGCAATCCCCTCAGCAGGCGTCTTGGAGTGGGTCACTTCAGCTCCTTGAAGACACACTGCTCTATTGCCCGAACTCCTTGCCAAACGAGACACAACCAGAAGTATGTGGGACTCACACTGCATGTGAGTATCCGGTCAAAGGCAAGTAGCCGGTTGAAAGCCATGGCCAGCAAACGGTGAGAGTCTACAGGTCCACCGTCGTGCCTCCAAAGGTGTGTCCACCTCCTGGTCAAGGGTGGCATTAGCATCCTCAGTAGCACAGAGACATTTGAATCGTGCCCAACCCCAACAAGGTAGAATGGACCGTGACTGAGGTGGGGCAGGAGTGGGGATGGGGGAGACAGGGGGCACCCACAAAACACAGTAGCAGACACAGCATGGCCACAAGCATCAGCGAGCACACAGGAGCACACGTACCACAGAACACGACAGTGCATTCAAAACATACATATGATAGAAAAGATGGTTTCTCACCCTCAAAACAAAACTGGAACTTTGGTTTGCAGGCCCCGCTATGCCCATATGCCCTCCTCGTCATCCTGCGGAGGCCCGAGGTGGGAGGTCCCCGGAGAGGAGGGCGCAGCGGAATGAAAGAAGAGAAGGTTAGTTACACCGTGATGCCCAGGAGAGGCACTCTGAGCTCCATTCTGCTTTTCGATCTTTAAAAGCAAGGACAAAAAGAAATCCATAGAATTTCAGTTCCCCATCCCTGACTTGTCAAACATATAACTGAGCCCTGCAGCCATGGGAACCCACACACAAAAACACTCTGCCCCGCCGGCTCTGCCTGTGTCAAGATTGGATTAGAAGATTTAAATTAGTCTACATTAACAGACGATTATTTTTTTGGAAAGCCTGCGATCTGAATCGCATATGCCTAAGGAGTAGATTAAACTTTTTAAGTCAGCAGAGAAGTAATTATAGTAATCAAATACCCTTAATTTCTCTTAAGCTTAATATATCAATAAGGGCTGAAGAGGAATTAAAAGCAACCCCCACCACCCCCTAAGAAGTCCTCATCTCCTTGCATGGGACAAGCTCCTGAGCACGCAGCCATTCACATAGGCTTTGGTGCAAAGACCCAAGCATGCGGAGATGCCCGGCTTTGCCAGGTTCCCCTCAAGGACCAGGGCTCCGCTCCTGGGAGCACGTCCACCCTCGCCATTGGGAAGTTTCCGCACACGAGGAGCAGACATTCAGTTCAGGAGAACACTCACAGCCCCACTGTTCACTCTAGAGTGAGCTCCACTGTGAATGGGCCACGTGCCTGCTCTCAGAAACATTTCCCCAGTCTCTGGCCACCGTCCTTGCTTTGGGACCGGCTGGTAGGTGAGGAAACCGCTTCTTTCTTATAAGATGGACTTGCACCCAACATGAGAGCTCCCAGTTTGGAGCATGAATTCTCACTGTTTACGACAAGTGCTGAAACACAGCACAGGAGGTGGAGTGGAGTGGCCCGTAGCCTGCTCTCTCCCCACCCCCACCCCCGTGGTGAGCAACCGGGTGCGTTCACCCGTCTCCACGGAAGCCACATTTGTGTCATGATTCATTTCTGCTTTGAAAACCAGGAGCAGGAAACACAAAAACCGGAACGAGAACCAAACCACCCCCCAAACAGACACACACACAACCTTCCGACTACTGGGATCCTCACTGCTAAGACTCATCATATTCCGTTGACTCAGAAGAAAATAGCTGAATCAGACTTTGTTGCAGCAGCAAATTCCACAACTGTCACCCTGTGGGTGTCCCTGGGAGTCAGGACCACCTGGCCCAGCTTCCTGTAGGCTGACCTGAGGCCCTCCAGAGGGAAGGGACACTGTAGTCATGGAATGCCATGCCAGAGACTCGCTAAAGCACAAGGCGGTGGGACAGTAGCTTGTCTCGCACTGTTGTCTTACTTGTGAGCTGGTGGGTCATGAGATGGGCAGTCACTGAAGTGGGGGGGTGATTGGTTCCCTTTGTACGTCCAGGCAACTTATTGCGCATGCATCAAGTCTTCTCTGAGGAACGGTCCGCAGGTTCATCAGGCAGTTGGAGGGGCCCAGCACCCACAAGGATTAAGAAAGGCTCAATGATTTCAGTCAATCAAGTGGTTTATACAGAGTCGGAAAAGTACAGATTTTGCACATGAGAGTTTCGGTAGCAACATTCTAACAAAGGTAAGGCATAAGGGATGGTTTTACGGGGTTCTTTCCGGTATTAGTTGCTCATATTCCTTGTCTTCTAAACAGCCTACTAGTTGCTTTGGGCAGTAAATGTCCCCTTTGCCTAGGTGACTCTGGAAATAGGCATATTTGCACTTGTGACACTTCCTCTCCATCCCTGGAGAGAGACAGCGCTGATGCCCCCATTTGTGTTCAGGAAGAGCAGAGCAGGGATCCTGGGACATGCACCACCGGGGCCCCGGAATCCTAAGGGACAAGGTTGTGTGGATGTATGTGAGCAGGCTCCTCTGGATAGGGGCTCGAGCGTTCTTTCTTCGTAAGGTTTGGGACCCCCAATGTGAGTGTGGCCGGGAAACTTCAGGGTCAGAGGGATGCTGGACATCCCCACACCACACAAGGAGGGAGCTTTCCCTAAAACAGAGTCATCGGTCCCTGCGAATGGTTTCCTCAATGGCTGTGATATCACTTTGCTTGCAGTTTATTTCATTTTGTATTTAAAACCCAACACTAGGTATACATTCAGTCTCCTCTCAAATCCATCCATCGAGGGTCTTAACGTTTTGGATTTTTTTTTTGTTTTAAATAATAAAGAAAGAAAACAAAAGCCAGACAATCCGCTGCCTCCAGGGTCCTCCGTGATGAGCTTAGCCAACGCGGTCTAATGCAAATCACTCTCAGCAAACGAAACGCGTTAGAAAGCGGTAATTAATTATGACTGAACAGACAGGCGCTGCAGCTTGCAAATACACACTGCCAATATCACCAGCGTGCCTCGTCCAGCGCAGGGATCGAAGGGAGCTCCCCCTTGTCGGGGCTATTGAAAACCAGACGTGGGGGTCGATGTTTTGAAGGCTGACGAGTAAAGGGATACGGCAGTCCAATATAAACTCTACTAACAGTTAGCATGGCAGAAATGCGGGCAAATTCCCCGAGAGAACTTGGAATACTGTGCTCTGTTTTGTGGACGGCGGGTTTCTACCGTCAATTCTGGGGTCCTTTCAGAGAAAAGAGGGGGAAGCCTGTGGCCAATTCTGGTTTTCCAACTCCTCAAGGTTCAGCCTTGACGTGACCCCATGCACCAAGTGACCTGGGTCCGAGTGGGCGTCTGCTTCGGGACAGAACAAGTTGGGGGAGTGGGGAGGGGGAAGGGCAGGAGCAAAGCAGACGAGGAGCCCATGTCCTTCCAGCTGGATCCCACTCACGCAGACTGCAGCTCTGGATGCAAATATTAATTTGCTCAGTAACCTTCCCCACACAGAAATGCAAATTTGGGGCCCCCCAAATCAGAAACAGATAAACAGCACTTGATCCCTCCCTTCTATCATCATGCCAAGTTATTTAGCAGTACTTGGTGATGTGTGTGTGTGTGTGTGTTAAAATGCATCTATCAGGCCTGGGAATGCTTGTGCCTTCTCTGCTCCCAAGCCTGCTTAGGAGCGCCCTTCTTTCCTCATGAATCCAGATGGGAGGCAGGTCTCCACCCATCGGTCATCTGTGTGCTTCAGCCCATGCCTCTGGGGATGCAAGATCCAAGGGCCGAGGGCAGCCCAGAACACGGTACCCGGAGATGTTAGACATTTTGCAGGGACAGAGTCTTAACAGTCAGACCGCCTCAGGTCACACCCACATATTGAGGGGTGATGTGAAAGGCAAGAGGCCTTGTTGGAAATCCTGCAGTCCAGATGCCGCTCCTAAGGGGATGCTCGCAATATTCTGACAAACAAGATTCCTCACCCGATGGGCCACCCACAGCTGATGGGGATGACAAGATCTAAAGGCAAAGGGCTGGAATCAGAGCTGCCCCCACGAGGGACTTGCTGCTGAGTGTGTGTGCTGGGCATTAGCTCCAGCTAGGCAGCCTGGGAAGGGACTCTGTCATCGGACATGATAAACGTCTGGGTGTCGACCTTTATTGGTCTCTATTTTGAAGTCCTAGTTACAGTCAGCAGGCAAGCGCTAGCCCTTCGCTGTATAGTCTAAAACCCCCTGCAGCTGTCTCTGAGTCCACAGCCGGTCTTATTCTCACCGCAAGCAGAGGCTAAAAATCCTAGCAGGGCCCTACTAGTTCCACCCTTCCCTGCTAGAAAAGGGAGCCTTTGCGGGCACTCAGTCTGCGCTGGGGAGTGAACCTGGCTGGCTTCCTGGTGGGAAGGGCAGCCATTAACACCAACACTACCCCACTCTGAAACTTCTGAAAATGTCAGCCTCCAGCACTGCAGACTGAGGCTGAGAGTCATGAGCGTGGCTCTCCTGGCATCTCCAGACGCAAGCTTGGGCAGAACTGGCAAAGAGCGGTGTGTGTATAAACAAGAACAGCTCGGGCTAGCCTGGCCAAGCAGCCCTGGTGGCTACTGGGCTGTGCATGGGGCTCCTAACTGCAAGCTTGGCAGTTTGAAACCACCAGCTGCTCACCGAGAGATGAGAGATCGAGCGGCTTCCTGCTCCCGTGAAGACTGACAGCATCAGAAACCCAGGGGCAGATCTACTGTCTCCTCTCGGGTTTTCATGAGCCAGCACTGACTGCATGCCAGCGAGTTTAGTTTTGAGCTTTAGAGCCTGGTCAGAGGCCTGACACTTTTTTTCTGGTATAAGCCCAAACTTTGCTTCTAGGGCATTTGATAAAGTTTATTGTGCCAACCTGGCTGATAGACACATGTGGGGTTAACTTAAGGGCAGAGAGATAAATGGCTCAGTGAGCCTTGCCTTTCGAGTCCTTGGGTCTCTTGCTTTGTGGTCGGACCAGGGTGCAGCTGCCTTAGCCAGTTCCCTGCTTTAGCTGGTAAGGCTCACTTCCTGCAAGACATCCTCAAGGAGAAGACCCATGGACCTACCCCATATAGTCCTGGGTGCTGGAGCAGCTGTGTGGAGACCCCTGCCAGCGCTGAGATGCTTACACGTTCACTGATTTGGTTTTCCTCCTGCAGTCAGCATCATAGTGTGTGTTTTGTGAGATGGAGGAGGACTTTGTGGATTGGTGTCGGACATATGGGTTAATGTTGGACTTGTGGGCTTGGGCAGCACGGGGTTGGGATGTTTTCTTGATGTGCACTTACCCTTTATATAAAACTCTCTCTTATCCACGAGTCGCTGTGGATTTGTTTTTCTACTGTACCCAGACTCACACAGCTTCCCATCTCTCTCACCTCCCGTGATGCTCAGCCCAGGGACAGCTGTTTCCACAGATGATGAGTCCTTGGCTTGTATTTGTTACCGCCAGAAGGACTCATCTAGAACCCTCCCTCCCCCAAAGAACTAGGGGTTTTCCGGTTCAGATGGCCACTCCCTCCCTGCTCCTTAAAGATGTGAGCCAGCACTGTTAGCACCTCCTCGAGGGAGCTGGTGGCAAAGTGGTTACACACTGGGCTTCGATC